TCTGTGTTCTTGGTGCTTGGGGGGCAAGAGTGGGAGGGCTTCTTGAGTTCTGGCCCCGCTGGTGGACCCTCCTGATGGCCCCTGGGTTTTGGCCACCGTGTGACACAGAGTGTCGGGCTGGACCTGATCCGACATGGCTCCTCTTACGTTCTTAGGACTGTGGTGTGGAATCTGAACCTGCTTTGGTTCTTCTCTTGCAGCCCCCCTCCCAGCCCCTCCGGGACGCTCACGATCACCGCTGGACACACCCACTACCAATCCGTTCCCGTCTATGAGATGAAGTTTCCGGATCTTTGTGTGTATTAAGTGTCTTCTGGCCTCTGCTGGGCCTTCCTTGGCGTTAGAGCACACTGTGCAAAGCCCGAGAGGAGCGTCAGACTCTCTCGCAGTCCCCTTTGCTAAAATTTTAATAGAGCTTTCGGAGGATAGCCTTGGACGTAGCACCGCTGGGCTGGGATGGTGCCTGAATCGTAGAGGTTTCTGGCCCGGCTCTTGAGATTGATCATCTGTTGATTTCATGACTGATTTTTTAATCTCGCCTCAGTGTAAAGAAACCTGAGTGGGACGCTACCTGTTTTGCCAAAATGCTTTCTTTTGGGGTGGGAGACTTTTTAGGTCAATCCACTGAAATGCTATAGCATTAAGGAGCCAGCTTGTAGCCTTAAGCAATGCTGGGTGGGAATTTGGCTACCACTGATCCCAAGATCCTAAAAGCCACACGAGGAGCAAGAGTCCGACCCTCTCCAGTCCCAGGAGCCAGTCCGGGCTGAACTTGCTCTCCAGACGCTCGTCGCCTGCTCTGCTTTGGCGAAGCAGTTGCCTGCCTTGGAGCACCAAACTTTTTGAATGTCACCCCCATGCTTTTTTGGAGGAGAAATTGTATTTTTGCTGTGCCGCTTTTAGGATATGGAAAACCATACATACATATATTTAGTATAGCAAGAGGGGATAGCGTTTTAAAGCGGAAAGTAGTTTTCTATGAATTCTCCGTTCCAGTGGACGAGAGAAGCAGGTTATTCTACGACACGGTCCTCTGTAGTACAGTGGTGTATCTTTCGAGTGGTTATTTTGTCAGCTCAACAAAAAGCCTGCTAGAGGTTATCATTCCTATTGCTTGCACTGCTTCCTTCCCCTCCTGGCAAGGGGTGGCATCTTTAAAAAATGCATTTCCCTCTGTCTGCTTTGATTTCATTGCCACATTTTCCCCTGGTGGGAAAATGGACCCCCGCCTACATACCCTTTTCAAGAAATTCCCTGCCAAAAGAAAAGAGCGGCCTTCTGTTTTGTTTACCCGTCACGCAAGAAACAAAGTGTTGGCCGTGGTTTTTTGCATCTGACCCACGGATGAAATTTTGTCAGTAAAGCCAGAGAAGCACAGCAACAGTTGGCAAGCTAAAGTCCTCAGTGGATGGGGGGGGGGTCCGAACTGCTCCTAGTTTCCCCTCCTGCAAGGGGAGGCCTCATTTCCCAGGAGTCCCACCTCCTGTCGCACCGCCCGTGCCCACACCCCTTTGCCGGCTGCCTTGCTGCAGGGTGGAGGAGGAGGAGGCAGGAAAAGCCCCCTCGTATGAGTGGGACTCTCCTCACACCGCTCCACAGCCTCCC